AAAAAAAAGAGAACTTCATGAGAAAAAAGACCTAAACTAATAAAACACTTCATTAGTTTAGATGTTTTTCCAATGAATTTGCAAACAAAATATTCACAGGTAATGAAGGATATTATTAAAATGTCTGTGAAACCATTTAAATACGCACAATAGAAAGTAAAAGTGTCACATTTGTTTCAGCACAAGTGTAAACTTAAAACAATTAAAAAGGAAGCTTTAGAAATGATTTCTCTTTGTCCAGTCTTTGGGTTTCTCTAGACCTGGAGCAACCTGTGAATTTGACCGCTACATCATAGGTCTGCTATAAAGCAGTGCGCGATGTGCATTCCTTCGATGAATCCTAGTTGTGTTTGATATAAACTGTATTTGTATAGAGTTACTTTAGCACAATGTGCAGCACAGCTCACAGTGTCTATGCTGCTGGCAGGACACATTTGGGGTGAAGAGACAGACATTAAAACATGAGTGGAGAGAAGAAAACGAAATCGAGTGAAGAAGAGAAAGTAGAAGATGTGGTTAGACGACGAGAAAGAGGTGCCTCAGGGGAGGGTGAAGGATGGTAGAGAAGAGAACGAGGGGCTACGTGAGTGAAGGCTGAGAAAATGGAAAGGACAGATGAGATGGGGATGTTTCAGAAAAAGAAAAACGTGAGTAGGGAGAGACGGAGAGAGACAATGTGAAGCAGCAGCCGAGATGAGGAGGAGGAGGATGATGATGATGAGGAGGAGGAGGAGGAGGAGGAGGAGGGGTGTACAGTAAGAGGTGAGTGAAGTGGAGGATGGATGAATGCAGTGATCAGTGCTGGGCTCTGACCCCACTAAGCAACCAGGGGAAGAAAGAAAACCATCCTTTCAGCTCCTGGCTGCACACCTCCTTCAACACACAGACTCCCCATCTGACTGATTTCTGTTTCACATCACAACACAGGATCAATCTGCTCTACAACGCTTCTCTTATCACCCGCTCACAAAGGTGGAGTAATTATGTTTTTCACCGTGTGTTCATTTGACTGGACTGCAACATATCTCATGAATGACTGACCAGATTTTTCACAAATCTACCCAAAAATAATCATTTCAAGTACATCTATGACTGATTCACTGTTAGAGTCAACACTATTTACAACGACAACCACAACAAATTAACCTTAGCCCATAAAAATGTCTATACCTCTGTACATGTTGGGTATTGAGGTGTGGTATTACCTGAAAGTCACATAGATCATGGGAGATATTTGGACAGAGTATTAGGACCAGAACACAACTTTTTTTATTTTCAGCCCTGCCCTCCATCACCTGTTTCTCTTGTGTCTCCTCCAGGTGTTCCTCATTTACCCATCATTACTTAGTCTTTATATTCAGTCTTTTGTCCTCAGTGTTTTTTCGGTTCATTGTGTTGTCTTCCTCAGCCGTGTGGTTGTCTCTGAGCTCTTTGTGTTTTTCCATGCAGCCACAGCAGCGCCATTTTGTAAATAAATTGTACTTGAATTTTTGACCTCCGAGTCCTGCCTGTTCCCTGGGTTCACCTTGTCATGGGGTGAGCCATAACATCAGATGAACCTTGTTATATTCAGAAGAACAGCTTTGATGATCAGTTGATTTGATCCTATTTAACGTGTGAGCATGCAGGTGATGCTCACGTCTTCACTCAACTTTTTCTTTACCCCAACCAAAGAAAGCAGTGCCCTCATTACTGAGGACACGGCCCTGATTCGTCAATGCATGTCTGGCTCCATGCTTTCATCACTCATAAACAAGTTACCCAGATACTTGAATTTCTCCACCTGAGGCAAAGACTCCCCCAAGACACAAAGGGGGCTTTCCGCCCATACCAGTTGAAAAATCCGAGTCCCATTTCAGCCGCTTCCCATTCAGCTGCAATCCACCCCAAGTACACACTGAAGACCATGGCCCAACGATGCCAACAGAACCACATCATCTGCATAAGGGACCCCAAGGTTCTAAAACCAGACACCTTCCTGTCCATGGCTGCGCTTTAAAGTGCCTGCGACATAAAATTTTTTGCAGTAAATATGAATGTATTTTTGGAAAGTTAACATTGATAATATATTGTGAAAAAAGATTTCATGCCACTGAGATGGACAGTTGCTGAGATATTTGCATGCGAGGAAACAGGAAGTGATGTCAAAGGGGAATGTCTGAATGTGAACTGACAGTTGCTAAAATGACTAACAACACAGGCTGTAGAGACGAATCTGGTGTTTCTTTAGGTTACTTTTTACTCACTATCATGAAGAGATGAAAAAGAGTCAGAGTTCAAATAATATTGTTTAAATCAACAAAAACCAGGGAGTTTTCTTTCTCAAAGAGTTACCCTTTGATGTCACTTCCTGTTTCACTTCAGCTGTGCCAAGTACAAAAGAAAATATGCCAATTATGTGACATAATGGGTAAAATCATGTGTCTTATGCAAAGTTTCTTAAATATAAAAATGTTTTCTTTGACTTTTTGTATTTCATGGATATGCATGTCACAGGCACTCCTGTCCTTGAACACCACAAACAGGATCAAAGACAAGAGACAGCACTGGTTGGGTCCAATATGGACTAACTCCTAAATTGCTCATATGTACGTGGACTATAGTCAAGAAGATCAGCCCACAGTTCTGCAGCCCCCCCCCCACACACACACACAATGCTTCAGAGAAGAAGGATGTTCATTTTGTGTGTGTGGGGGGGGCGGGGGGGGGGGGGGGGGGTAAAATGAATAATAGCACCAGTTTATTGATAAAGTATGCTTCAAAATGTGAATTAAACCAAAATGGTGCACAAGAAAATATTTTTACTGATAGGTAGGTGACTGTAATGCAGGCCATGTCATTAATAACATCATAAAATCCAATCGACACAGAATCCATCAATAATCTGTGTGGGACCACTGACCAGCCTTCTATGCAATATGAAGGGCATCATGGTTTATCATGCTGATAATGTCCGACACATTCCATTTTATTGAACTAAATATATGTTGTGTGTGGGTGTGTGTGTGTCTGTGTGTGGTGTAGCAGCCTGATCAATGCTCTGCTTCATACAATACATCAGCTGGATTCACGCAAAACAATGAACCCACGAGCAAATGTTTTTCTCTGGATTTATTGATCAGGTTTGAGGAATTTAGGGCTCTGTGTAGGTTGTATGTGTTTTGTGTGTGATGGTGGTGCTGGTGGGATGATTATACATTACTTCATCATCAAGTAACTTTACCATACTTGCTTTTTGTTTGTTTATGCAGGCATTCCATTGTACCGGTTAATCACCAACAAGCACTAATAGTTGTGATTTTTAAAGTGTCTAACATGCCTGCTTATGATCTATACTCCAGTGAGTCAAAAACTGTGTGAAATTCCTCTTAGTCTTTGGAAAAATAAATGATAAAAGATCTGTCCAAAGTAGAACAGAAGTTCAGGATTAAGACTTACAACATGGCGCACGGCCTTATTGATTCCATGTAATTTAGTGCAAAATAAACATTTGATGCTATCAACAAAAACATTATGTTAAATAACTACAAATAAAGTAAAAAATGTTACAAGTTTTGTCCCCTAAAAGTGAAGAGGCGTGGTGGTTCTTGAAGCATTGACTCCAGCTGCAGTCTACTCTTTGTGAATCTCCCCCACATTTTTGAATGGGTTTTGTTTCACAATCCTCTCCAGGGTGAGTTTATCCCAACTGCTTGTTCACTTTTTTCTACCACATCTTTTCCTTCCCTTCGCCTCTCTATTAATGTTCTTGGACCCAGAGCTCTGTGAACAGCCAGCCTCTACAGCAGTGACCTTTTGTGTCTTGCCCTCTTTGTGCAAGGTGTCAATGGTCATCCTTTAAAACAGCGTTTCCCAAAGTTGGGGTCGGAACCCAAAGTGGGGTCCCGAAACATCAAGGTGGGGTCCTGAAAAGATTTTCTGAATTAATGACATTTTTGCCTTAGTTGTTACAAATGAGTGAGGTTAGTATATTTAAAATGGATAAATGTAGTACAAAAATATTGTTACTATGCCCTTGTTTTGTTGACCTGATGCAAATGTTTACCATCCAAAAATAGTTGGGGGCACAGGTCTCTGCTACTGTTATTTTGTGGGTCAAAAGCTAAAAAGTTTGGGAACCACTGCACTTTGGTTCCCAAAGTTGGGCTTGGGACCCAATTATGGTTCATGAAGCACCTTGGATAATCTCCAGAAATCAATTTAAAGGGTAATAAAATAATTGCTGATGTWATATTTTCCCTATAATTATTACAAAAACACAAAATAAGTAAAAAGAAGTATTTATATTTGTGTATAAGCTGTTTAGACTGTCAAAAAGCCTGTGTTTTTAGGGTTATTAATGAAGTTCATGTACTCAGACCAGTAATATTTGGGGTCACAAGTTTTTGCCATGAATATTTTGTGGGTCAGAAGACAAAAAGTTTGGGAACCACTACCTTTTTCAAAATGTTCTATTTTCTGAGATACTAGTTCACATTTTTGAATGGAATAACTGAAATAAATACACTCTTTCATGATATTCTAACTTTATGATCAGCACCTGTAGTGTTAGCTCCAGTGCTAATAGTGTCATCTCCCAATCTAGTATTTGGCATTAGCTCTGAGCTAATTTAATAAACATGACATTGATCACGTTTGATCATTTAAGTCCATATATTGTATAGAAAATAAATGATTACTAAACATAATTTTATTATGACACCTTACAACTTTTTAGCCTTGACTCTTTTTGTATGAGTCAAGTTCAACCTATCCTCATGATCCACAGATTGTACTGTCAGTAAAAATGGAAAGAATACACATGGTGTAGTGTAAAGTAATTAGGAGTTTTAACGAGTCACAAAAAATAACTTTTTGTAGAACAGAGAAATGACAACACATTAAGGCCAACCTGTGTGAACAGTGGCAGATCGCCCTGAAATGTTGAGTCCTGAGAAGGACATTTGGCCGATAGAGGGCGACAGAGAGGCGCAGAGAGGAGCGGGGATTGGAGCAAGTCCCATTCGGGCTGGAGTGCCTGTAACGCGGGGGAGAGAGAGCAGTCGCACACCGACGGAGGAGGGCTGCTCGGAGGAGGAAGGCTGTCTCATGCAGGGCTTTACTCGGGTTTAAACGAGCGAAGGAGGGATTCTGACGGAATACAATGGATCTCCTTTGGGTCTGGATGTGGATGGCGGCTGTGGGGGTAAATATTTACCGTTATTCTGCAGCGAGAGAGCGGATCTATCTGCCGGAGGACGGAGGGATGGATGGATGGATGGATGGTGTGTGTGTGTGGGGGGGGGGGGGGGGGGGGGGTTAATGCATTTAAATGTGATTTCTGAAGAGTATACAAGGGGGGAGAAAAGGCGCATGTTTGTACTGCTGATGATGTGCGGTAAAATGCAGATGTAACACCTGCCGCGTGCCGCACATCCGTCATAAAGAGCAGAGGAAAAGCGTTCCGCGCGTGACGGGCTGGGATCGTTCACGCGCACAGTCTCAGTCAGGAAGGTTTTAAAACATCCACCCGTCTGCCCATCCGGTTCTCTGGACTTTTACAGGGTTTAACCCCCACCAGCTTATTGAGCCTCCGGGTCTTAATGGTCCCGGGCTCCCCCACAGTGAGACCGAACCTGCGGCATGGTGGGCTTCTGCTTCTAGGTTCCAGCGGCAGAACATCTCCACTGAAACACAATGTGTGCTCTCCTCCTGATGAAAGGCTCAGTTTTTATAGCTGCTGGGTCCAGCCTACTTATCCAAAAAGGGCGATCATGTTTTTCTCTCTGGAGTCTGTCGTGTCAGCAAAATATCTCACGAACCACTGGAGGGATTTTAATGAAACTCTCAGAAAATACATACAATTGCATCAAATGAACTTTTGGGGTCAACCCAGTTTAAGATGGCCGCCACAGCTTAGCAGGCTTAAAACATGACTGAGGCAAACAAAAATGTTGTAGTAACTCTGCTTTATCTACAACACATACTCTGTTTGCCTGTTAGCAAAATATCACAAGAACTACTGGATGGAGTTTTGTGAAACCCTCGGCTAATAATCATTACATCTGTAGCTAATTACCTTGTCAGCTCCATTCAGCGTTGTTTAATTGATATTAGCCGGAATGGTTCCAACTTGGTCAATTTTCAGATATTGAGCTAAAATCGTTTTCATTGTTTGCAGACAAGTGAAATCTGTCAGTGAAACCTAGATGCGTGAATGAATAGGAAATGTGATGCAGACGTGTGCACAGATCACCTTCAGAGGTCAAAGGTCACCTGAGAGCAGCAGCCCAGCCTAATCCCTGAACCAGCCCAGTCAGCACTCTGAAGCTTACCTTTAATCCAGGAGTAGCAGGTGATTTGTTTGCCACAGACTCCCCGGGGGCCTCGTGTATGAAAGTGTGGGCAGCCTTCTCAAAACGGGCCTAAAAGAATTTGAAAAAGTCGCATTTTTAGTTGCAAGGAACCCCGGCGTGGTGGGGACTTGAACCGGCACACCTGGCTTCCCTCTGTACCACTGAGGACAGCCCAGTGCAGAGTTCCAACAGGATAGCCCTGGGATTTTTAAATCTGATAATAAGCCAGACACCATTGTGTGCCTGCAGGTTGCTGTGATCCCTGAAAACATGCTCCTTAAATCTGTTGGCGATGTCTTCCAGCAGTGCCACCACTGCTAGAAGACTTTTCCACAATTATAATTACACGACTTGAGGAATTAATACTTCTGACTTGTTCTGGATTATTATAAAGGTCCAACACTGTTTTCTTCTCACAGAGGTGGCAGATTAAAGCCGGTCACTGGTTCTGCTTTCATCACCCTCCACTAAAAGGTGAAGCTGGGCGATAATGGTTTTGTTTATCATGAACCCCTAGAAGAGCTTCACTGAAACTTTCAGAAAGTATAGAAGAAGAACAAAAGCTTTGGAGTCAACTCTGTTCAGCATGGCTGCTACAGACATCTGCAACTAAAAACACAAAACAGGTTATGCTGTAGGGTTGGGCGGTATTAGTAAAAAAAAAAAATCACGATTAATTGGGGTATTTAGCTGATAACGATTAATTTGACAATTAATCCCCTGGAGTCCCTGGACACCCTTATGTCCTGGTCAATTGACCAATTTAGTGGGAAAGATTTGTTTTTTTGTAAAAATCTGTTCCAAATTGTGTCAAAATTACATTGCAGAACTTTTTTTTAATGTTCGTCATATTTGAAGCGGAGCAGAGCATCGAGCAGACTGATGGGAGAAATCACCAGTCAGCCTGCCTGATGGCATTAATCGTATTAATTGTCAAGTGCCAAAAAATAACCGATTAATGTTTTTCTGGCGATTAATTGCACACGATACGATTATGCCCAACCCTATTATGTTGAGTCCATTTCACAGAAAATGAGGTCGTTTGGCAGGGTAGTAAATGAGACATAACACATGTTCAACACCTAAATTGTCCAAAATGGGGGAAAAAAATAACCAGTAATGATTTAAAGAGGGCATATTATGCAAAATCCACTCTTTCAGTTGTTAAATACATTTTGTTGTGTACTTTGAATATCTAGGAGTGCAGAAAAGTAGAATTTTTTGCTCCCGGTGCTGTCTAGATAGCTTTATATTCTGTTAGGATCATATTTTAACCTGTTCAGTTTTCTCTATATTCTATGACATTTCCTGCGCTACCGCGTTAAATTATTTGCAACAAACTTCTAAATAAGGTATGAACTTACCAACCACAATTAGGTGGTCTTCATTCTCCTCTGGCTGTGGGTCAAACCCTGGCTCCAACATGTGAGGCTGGATGGACAAGTTGTTGACAACTTTTAATTAATTTGTAAATAAAATGTTTCTGTGCTGCTACATTGCCATAAAGCCCTCTATCAGACTACAATGGATCGGTCTGGAAGCTGGAGGGGGGCGAGATTTGAAAAGTGTCTCATTTGGATTTAAAAAGGCAGCCTCAAAACGAGCTGATCTGAGACACTACAGAAAATGGGTGATAGAGGGACTTGTGGAGTTACAGTAAGGAGGAATTCAGACCAAAGCATTGCAGTTCCACTTGATATAAACCCCAACTGAATGATTTAAATGTGAAAACTTCCATAAAGTCAACATTGTTTGTCTGTTAGCAAAATATTTCATGGACAGCAAGATGGATTTTATTAAGACTAGCCGAATGTGATTATTAGATGTACATTTAAACTTGCTCACCTTTTGAGTCAATTAAATTTAATATGGTCACCATTGCATAAATGGCTGCAACTGACTCAATTTTGTAGATATATAGTTAAAGTTGGAGCAGGTAGTAGCTGAGAGTAATTAACAACTCATACTCTGAGTATGACATCTTGCAGTTTATAATGAGATGACACATAACATAATAATGAGAGTTTGCTCTGACATTTCTCAACATAAAATGATCTTTGTCTAAAAGTCTGTCCTGAAAGGCTGCAGATGAGATGCATTTCTTTAAGTCCTTTACTTTTTATTTTGTGTATTTTAGTACTATGTTTTCATGTGATTTCAAAATGAGTGAAAACTCAACCCATTCTCACTCCCAAGTCGTCACATAGTGACGCGTTTCCAAGGTTCCCTCTACGTCCGATTTTGACGCGCAGGGTACCCCCGTCACGTCAGTTACTGACGAGATGGGGCGAAATCTGTTGTCATATTTTCAGAAAGTGTATAAAATGCGCTAAAACGACCGTTCCAAAGCCTGAAATTACCTTTGTTCACTTTAGACATCCTGTCCCTGACCGTACTACGTAAAATTAACCATTTTTAGAAAATGTACGAAATTCACGTCAACATGTTCTAAAGCGTAAAATGACCAAATATTCACCATGGACATCCTACCCCTGATCCCAGTACCTAAACTTAACCATTAATCCTGATCCCTCATGTTAACCTCAGACCCCCGACCCAAAGACCCCTGGTGGCGCAACCCGGAAAAGCCGCGGGCATCAAGGACTGACGCGAGAGGGGCACCTGATGTGTCAAAATACGACGCAGAGGGAACCTTTGGAAAAGCGTCAATATGTGACGACTTGGGAGTGAGAATGTGTAGGAAAACTTTAGCAAAGCTGTAATATCCAGAGAAGAAAAGGGAAGAACAAGCCTTTGAAAGGTTTCAGAAAACCTGAGCAAGTACTACTTTACAAATTATTAAGAAATTGGGCAGATTTATTTATAAGCTAGTAGATCATTCAGTAACAGGCAAAATCTTTTCTTTCAGCCTTTGGACTCAAAAAATGGCAAGACTTTAACTGTTGTGGTAAAAACTAAACAGTATTTTCTTGCTCTTAACAAAGCTTGTAGTTGTTTGGTAAGTAAACCTACCAGAGGGGTTTGTTGACATAATGTGCATGTGATTAAAAAAAGAAAGGGGAAAAAAAACCAGGTTTGTTTGGTTAATATTAAAAAGCATGAAATCAGTTGGAAAACTCACAAAATAGAATCCCAGACATGAGATTTGGTCAGTAGGTGTTTCAGCATTTGACTGTTGTGAATATAGATTTTCAGAGGGCAAAGAGTAAAAGCAAACATGCATGTTTAAACATCAGGATTATCTCGTATTAGTTACTATTGACAGACTGAATACCCCCTGGTACCCCTTGATAACAACATTGTCTTGTCATTTGGGACTTCTATTAGAAGTTCTTTAATTTCAAAAGGAATAGCTGCTTTCCTCTGTAATATTAATTTAAATAGTCTTTATCATGTAGGTCATCTGAAAACCAGTTCTTATTTAGGTGTAATGGTACGCTAAAGTCATGGTGCAGTATGTACCTTGAGGGTCACAGTCCTGTATGGGGTCAGTACAACAGGAATCTTTTTTTTAAACAGATAACTCTCCCAGAAGCAGAGACAAAATTAAGCCACCTTTGTTATGAACAGCAAGGCAGGGTATGTAGCTGGAATTCTGCAGAATAGATAACCACCAAAAACAGGAAGCTGAAAATGACAGCGCGATCTGCCGGCGGGGTGAACGACTGCTGACAGCCAGGTCACCTGAGTCGACGCCAGGCCTGTCAGCTTCTTCTGCGGCGAGGCTTTCCAACTCCAAAACAATGAAGCGGAATTCAAAGTAGACGCATTAGTGTGAGTCAGAAGTCACAGGACACTCTTTTAGCTTAGAAAGAAAAGGGAAAATGACAAATCTGAATACTCGAGCAAGTAACAGGGGAGGGGACCTGTCTTTTAGACCAGTGTTTCC